CTGGTCCGCTGACAATGATGCAGGACTGAATGTGGTGTGTATAGTGGAAGTGAATTAGAATGTGTGTAATGGATGTAGTGTTTGTGTGTATTAGATACTGTTTGTACAGTGAATGCAGAGTGTGTGTTTGTGTAGCGGATGCATTGTGTGTACAGTTAATGCAGAGTGTATGTTAGTGTAGTGAATGCAGAGTGTGTGTCAGTATAGTGAATGCAGAGTATGTCAGTGTAATGAATGTAGTGTGTGTGTTAATGCAGTGAATGCAGAGTGTGTGTAAATTTGTAGTAAATGCAGAGTGTGTGTTAATGTGTAGTGAATGCAGAGTGTGTGTTAGTGTAGTGAATGCAGAATGTGTTAATGTGTAGTGAATGCAGAGAGTGTTAGTGTGTAGTGGATGCAGAGTGTGTGTTAGTGTAGTGAATTCAGAGAGTGTGTTAATGTGTAGTGAATGCAGAGAGTGTGTTAGTGTGTAGCGGATGCAGAGTGTGTGTTAGTGTAGTGAATGCAGAGATTGTGTTAGTGTGTAGCGGATGCAGAGAGTGTGTGTTAGTGTAGTGAATGCAGAGTGTGTTAATGTGTAGTGAATGCAGAGAGTGGGTTAGTGTGTAGCGGATGCAGAGTGTGTGTTAGTGTAGTGAATGTAGAGAGTGTGTTAGTGTGTAGCGGATGCAGAGTGTGTGTTAGTGTAGTGAATGCAGAGATTGTGTTAGTTTGTAGCGGATGCAGAGTGTGTGTGTTAGTGTAGTGAATGCAGAGTGTGTTAGTGTGTAGTGGATGCAGAGTGTGTGTTAGTGTAGTGAATGCAGAGAGTGTGTTAGTGTGTAGCGGATGCAGAGTGTGTGTTAGTGTAGTGAATGCGGAGATTGTGTTAGTGTGTGGCGGATGCAGAGTGTGTGTGTTAATGTGTAGTAAATGCAGAGAGTGGGTTAGTGTGTAGCGGATGCAGAGTGTGTGTCAGTATAGTGAATGCAGAGTATGTCAGTGTAATGAATGTAGTGTGTGTGTTAATGCAGTGAATGCAGAGTGTGTGTAAATTTGTTGTAAATGCAGAGTGTGTGTTAATGTGTAGTGAATGCAGAGTGTGTGTTAGTGTAGTGAATGCAGAGTGTGTTCATGTGTAGTGAATGCAGAGAGTGTGTTAGTGTGTAGTGGATGCAGAGTGTGTGTTAGTGTAGTGAATGCAGAGTGTGTTAATGTGTAGTGAATGCAGAGTGTGTTAATGTGTAGTGAATGCAGAGAGTGGGTTAGTGTGCTTGGATGCAGAGTGTGTGTGTTAGTGTAGTGAATGCAGAGTGTGTTAATGTGTAGTGAATGCAGAGGAGTAGGTTAGTGTGTAGCAGATGCAGAGTGTGTGTTAGTGTGTGAGTGAATGCAGAGTGTGTGTTAGTGTGTAGGATGCAGAGAGTGTGTGTGAGTGTAGTAGATACAGAGTGTGTTAATGTGTAGCGAATGCTTAGAGTGTGTATCCCTAAGTATAGTGGATACAGAGTGTGTGTTAGTGTGTAGCGGATGCAGAGTGTGTTAATGTGTAGCGAATGCAGTGTGTTGTGTTAGTGGATGCAGCGTGTGTGTGTGTGTTGTGTTAGTGTATGCACTGTGTGTTGTGTTAGTGTATGCAGTGTGTGTGTGTGTTGTGTTAGTGTATGTAGTGTGTGTGTTTTGTTAGTGTATGCAGTGTGTGTTGTGTTAGTGTATGCAGTGTGTGTGGGTTGTGTTAGTGTATGTATTGTGTGTGCTGTGTTAGTGTATGCAATGTGTGTGTGTTGTGTTAGTGTATGCAGTGTGTGTTGTGTTAGTGTATGCAGTGTGTGTGTTGTTTTAGTGTATGCAGTGTGTGTTGTGTTAGTGTGTGATCTGGGGGGGGAGGGGGAGGAAGGGGCATTTTAACATTAATTTTTAATTAATTTAATTAAATGTTTCTCCCCCCTCCCTGCTTACCTGTATCCAGGGAGGGGGGAGATTCCATCTGTGGTGGTCCGGTGGGGGCCCCCCGCTCCCTGTTACTGTCCACAGAGGGGGCCCAGGCAGCACACAGCTTCTCCTCTTCTAATAACTCTTGCGAGACGAGAGGAGGAGAAGCTGTGTGCTGCCTGGGCCCCCTCTGCGGTAACAGGGAGCCGGGGGCCCGCGGCTGCACACATAGATAGCGAGATTCACTATCTATGTGTGCAGAGAAACAAAGTGGGGCCCGGGACTGCCAGAGCAGTCCGGGCTCCCCAGGGCCGCTGGGCCCGTGACAACAGTCACGGTTGTCACCCCCTGATGGCGGCCCTGCCTCCTAGTGTCGGGGAGGGGTATGGAAATAAACCTCAGTTGAAAATAATAATACATGTAATATATATCTACCGGTAAGTACATTTAAGCATGGATTATGCAGTGGTATTTGGCAAGTCAGGTGTATGGAAACACTTAAAGGACCACTATAGTGCCAGGAAAACATACTCGTTTTCCTGGCACTATAGTGCCCTGAGGGTGCCCCCACCCTCAGGGACCCCCTCCCGCTAGGCTCTGGAGAGAGGAAGGGGTTAAACACTTACCTTTCTCCAGCGCCGGGCGGGGAGCTGTACTCCTCCTCTCCTCCTTGCTCGCGACGTCATCGGCTGAATGCGCATGCACAGCAGGAGCCGCGCGCGCATTCAGCCGGTCGCATAGGAAAGCATTTACAATGCTTTCCTATGGACGCTTGCGTGCTCTCACTGTGATTTTCACAGCAGCTGTCAATGAGACAGCCACTAGAGGCTCTGGAGGCTGGATTAACCCTCAGTATAAACATAGCAGTTTCTCTGAAACTGCTATGTTTATAAAAAAAAAAAGGGTTAATCCTAGAGGTACCTGGCACCCAGACCACTTCATAAAACTGAAGTGGTCTGGGTGCCTAGAGTGGTCCTTTAAGGCAACTTTCTCAGGCAATCACAAGTGAAGTGTGCATGTGCTGAGTAGACTTTTTATTGTGTACAGGTGCAGTTACTATGGCAATGAATTTAAAATTGTGCTTCTTTTTTTCATGTCCAAGTTTCAAATTAGTAAATTCTAGCCAGCCAGCAAGAATCCTTACACGTTTATCAGGGCTATTTACTAAAGAGAGAAATCAAAGTGAATTTAAAATTTAAGGTAAAGTAGCTAAAGTTGAAAAGGTTTCCAAGTCCGCTATGCTTCCAGGTTGGTCACTTTGGCATTAAATGAAAACTCAAGCATTAGGAATACAAATGTGTGTTCCTAAAGCTAATGCCCTAGTCACGGTTTAGGTAACAGTCCTCCCCCGAGGGTTAAAGTTAACTCTTTAAGAATTAACTTACTTTGCATTTCACGCCACGCCACGCTGCTCAGTATGACAGATGCTACAGGCAGGTTATATAGGGACATTAGTATTAAAGGAACACTATATATTATAAATACACTATATACTATAAATATATATATTTTGAGTGTTTCCATTATGAAAGTGGCCCATACAACCAAACCATTCCTGGGCCCCCTTCAGATGTAGGTCCATATGAAATGGTACGGTTACGGCAAAGCTAGTGGCGTCACACTATACAATTCATTAATTGGCGGACAGGAAAACATCACTGCTCACGACAAATGACAGGCTAGGCATTTGGTCTAAACCCTGCATGCCCCCTGGTGGTCCGACTTGCACTGGAAACGCTCACCTGAAAAGGCTGGACCATTCTAACCCTTCCAAACTGTACCGACCCGAACCATAGCGCACAGTGGAAACGAGGCAAGAGTGTTCCGAATACAAAGCCGTAGTCCGAACACTATAGTTTGTATTTAATATAGGGACATTGGGATTTAAATATTGGGCTTCAATGAGGGGATTTCTCTCCTAAAGAGCTAGTTCGATGTATGCTCAGTGTGTCGTCAGATTAGTAAAAAGTGCTTTAAAGTGTAAATAGCAATGACTGCAAATAGATTTTAGGGCTGAAATAGCAATAGGGAGACTTTGAACAGTGTAATAACTCTTTGTATGAAAACAAATATTGTTTACATTTTATTTTCTTTGTATAGAATGTTTACTCTCCTCTGTCAGATTACCACAGATTTGTACATACCTATAACTAATTAGTATGCCATTCCCTGTCCTGCTGACAGACCGGTTAGTAAAGTTGGTGATATTAGGGTGCTCATTGGAATTTGCAGGAAGCCTACAGAACATTCTGAGAAATTTCACATCCGCTCATTCCTAAGATGGAGCAGATTCCAGGCACACCTGATATTATCAAATTCCAATCCACTCAGACTGTGATCAGGTCACATAAAACTTCCACAACTCACAAGAAAGCAATCCACACCCCAGGGCATTTCAGTGAATGTAGAAACTTTCAGCATAAAGGAATGTATAGAGAAGCGGTCAAGAAACCACAAAAAAACCTACACAATATTTAATTTCTTTCAGACTGAACAATAAATGTGTCCTAACATGACCCATGTAAGGGGCACTCTACAAACCATAACCGCTGCAGCTCATTGTAGAGATGTGGTGTCAAAAGACATTTCTCTACTGCTTCCCCAGATCGTGTCAAGCTGATTGACAAAAACTGAGGTTCTCCTGTCACATGTATTGTAGGTGCTATGAAGGGGAGCAGAAGAACCAGGTGTGGGAGGTGGTCAGTTAATTCTCGACATATCCTTGTATAACAAGGAACTGATTAAGTGAGCAGAGAGACCGTATTTTTTATTTTCTTCATAAAATCTATACCTTTGTTAGCATTTCTACTAGGATTATGTATACATTATTATTTTACTTTAGCGCACAAGTTATTGTACCCTTGACAGATACACTTTAATCATGCTCACATGTGGAACAGAAACTGGAAAGCCAGTGCTTAATTTTGATCTTGTCTAGTAGGAGAGGCTGACGTGATACACTTACTCTGTGTGTTTACTCTGGCTGAGAATTAATGTTGGGAGTTCTATACCAAAAACGAGAATTATAGAACATTTGCGCCAGTTTGGTAATGCCATAATGTGCTTAAAACAAAATAAATCCATATAAAAGCGATAAAAACTAAATAGTTTTATTAGAATAGTTACTATACAAGGATCCAGCAGCGGAAGAGTTAACCAGTGTGGCTAAACATGCCTTCCTTTATCTATAGACAAATTGAAATTATGGATAGTTTTGCCCCCTGGTGGCAGCTTTGTGGATAGCTTCCCAGATGCTGAACGACTGGTAATCAAAAAAAAGGCTACCTAGTAGCAAGATAGTGACAAGCCCTTCAAGTCACAAACAATGTAATATATAATATTTTTCCAGGAAGTGGAATTTTTAAATTTTATTTTTTGTAGAACAAACAAACCCATGTGTTTGACATCAGCAGACATGAAATAGAATCTCTACTCTTACTGTACAAATTTAAGTAAAACATTTTGATTGGAAGAGGCATTAGAATAAAGAAAGTGTTAGTTATTTCTAGAACATCCCACCAACAAGAACAATCGTGATAGTATGTTATTTCAGGTTAAATACTGAGCATCCATAGTTAGCTTGTGAGACACAGACTGATTTTCTAATTTGTTAAAATCCAGGATTACATACTTTTTAACAGTTGTGACCCAGGGCTAGTGTTTGGGATGTGTGACCTATGTCAACGCACCTGCACCAACATAGCCTGCTCTTAGGAGATTCCTGGTATGACATGTGACACGACTCGGGACTAGTATGTGACTTACTGCTGACTTCTTGACCTATTAATAATCAGGCAACTAAGAAAGTAATTCACAAGACCAAAGTAAGACTCATTTCTAAAAAAAACATTTATTGTATTTTGAGGACAGAAGAATATGGCATTTGGAAGATATGCAGTGAATGAATGTAAGCATTTAAAAGTCACTGAAGTTATGGGCGCAGGAGTTTCCGGATACTGTCTTATCTTCTTACCTTCCTTAATATTCGAGTAGACGGTAAGGAAAGAGAAGGGGGTGTATTTGTTATTAAGGAGAAAATGTAATGGAGTAAATCTAGAGGGATATCAATTATACCTCATTGACAAGGTCCAAAGAAGGCCAACATGTTTGTCTTAAGTTGCTTTTATCATTCATACATAGAAATCTTGCCAGCATTTTAAATATGTAAAAAGGGGGAAATGGGGGCACACTCGGAACATGCATTTCTCAGATGTGGTGGTAAAGACCAAAATCTATGGAAAATACAGATTAAAGGACCACTCTAGGCACCCAGACCACTTCAGCTTAATGAAGTGGTCTGGGTGCCAGGTCCAGCTAGGATTAACCCATTTTTTTAATAAACATAGCAGTTTCAGAGAAAATTCTATGTTTACAAATGGGTTAATCCTCCCTCCAATTCCTCTAGCGGCTGTCTTATTGACAGCCGCTAGAGGCGCTTGCGTGATTCTCACTGCGAAAATCACAGTGAGAGCATAAAAGCGTCCATAGGAAAGCATTGCCGCGCGTGCGCATTCAGCCGAATGGGAGGAGAGGAGGAGGATCGGAGGAGGAGAGCTCCCCGCTGGAAAAAGGAACGTTTTTATCCCTTTCTTCTCCCCAGAGCCGGGCGGGAGGGGGACCCTGAGGGTGGGGGCACTCTCAGTGCACTATAGTGCCAGGAAAAAAAGAGTGTTTTCCTGGCACTATAGTGGTCCTTTAAGGAACAGCGCACACACAAGATATAATATAGCTTTAAATTTTACAAGGCCACCATATGGCCATGTCTTGTGACGCCCACCACTATGTAACAGTACCCCAAAATCGGTGGGTCCTACACTAATGTTGTGTGTGCTACTCCTTAATTTATAGCACCAAAAACACACTTGAACCAGAGGTGTACAGCAATAGTGGAAATATAATATATATAAAAAATACAAAACCTTAAACACTTCTTGTTCCCTTAATCTGTATTTTGAATAGCATATATTGCCATTGTATGTAGGATGAGTTTGATATGTGACAGGCCTAGGTTTTATCGGTAACATGAGCAAAATCTTGTTTGAGAACTAAGCATGGACTCACCAAAGGCAAACTATGCAGTTTTTACACATTCTCCAATCTTTTGTCAGAACAAATGGTCAAACTCACTTAAAGGGTCACTATAGTCACAAGAACCACTACAGCTTCATGTAGTGGTTCTGGTGTCTATCGCTTGTCCCTGGAGTCTTTTTAATGTAAACATTGCCTTTTACATTGGTGCCTCGTAACACCTGTAGAGGTGTCTCCACGCTCTCCATGGAGAAGCTTAACATTCCCCATTGAGTCGAGGAGATTCGGTTGGAAAACATTGGATTAGCTGACATCATAAAGTTTGGCGAACTCACCCATGAATGCGGGGCCAGCTGAGGCGAGACAGGAACGGTCTGAGGGAAAAAGGTAGGTTTAAAACCTTTTCAAAGCAATCTCAGGGGGAGCTAAATAGTTTCACACTATAGTGTTAGAAATACGTTTGTATTCCTAACACTATAGTGTCCCTTTAAGTAAAATACAGGATGCTATATACATGTTATTTTTCTTTGTTCCTCAACCGTTTTACAGATTTTTGGTCTACCAGAATAGATTTTGCTGTTAGTAGTTGTTTGTGCCTCATTAATACGGTCGTAGTCGTGTATGCCATTTTAGAGTACACTGCACTATTCATAAATATCTAATTATTATTTACTTATTTTTAAAGTCATATGTAGTTCAAGTCATCATATTGTTCTAAATCTAGGTTGGGAAATGTCTATTCAAACATGTGATGTTAAATGTGTTCTCTTCATTGTCTCTTACAGGTTTTACAATTTCAATAAAAAGAAGCGTCTGGTGAACACTCCGTACGTGGACAATTCATGCAAATGGGCAGGTGGTGGTTTCCTGTCCACAGTGAGCGACCTCCTCACCTTTGGAAACGTTCTCTTGTATAGTTACCAAGCTAAGGCCAATTCTCAGATACTGCCCGGATACCTCAAATCAGACACCATCTCTATGGTTTGGAGACAGGTGCCGAACACTGAAATGTCCTGGGACAAAGATGGCAAATATGCAATGGGCTGGGGGGTTGTGGAAAGGAAGCTGGATTTTGGTCAGTGTAAGCACCAGAGGCATTATGTGTCCCATACAGGAGGAGCAGTAGGGGCCAGCAGTGTTTTACTAATCCTACCCGAAGAAGATGATCATAGTAGATTCAGTAATCTGGAGGAAAGACCACCAAAAGGGGTGGTAGTTACTATAGTAGCCAACATGCAAGGTACTGGTCTCAACAGCACAGCACTGAAAATCGCATTGGAGTTTGAGAAAGACAAGATGAAATGCTCCTAAGATCATACATATAAAATGCTAGTAGAACATGGGTGATCACAAGGCAGAACCCAGCTTTTGCAAAACTACAACTCCCACGTTGCATTACCAGCTCTAAGGATGACAAAACATTATGTGAGCTGTAGTTTAGCAAAGGTGGGGATTTACTTCCTGGATGCCACTTGTGCCAACTTATTTTATTCAGCCATAATGATTAATTCATTGAAGGGGTTAATTTACTGTGCAATACAAATGTGATTTTCAACTGATTATGGTTTAAAATGTAATGAAACATGATGCGATCCCAAGTCATTCATTAGTAGCTCCAACAGTAATAGTATTACAGTAGTCTTTGTCCGCCAATCCAATGATTGGTATTCCTTCCTTGTGCGGCCATCAATCTTTGTTATGGGCAATGAGATGTTTGGTTTCAGGCACTCTGAACAGCGCAAAGGAGGTACTTACACAGCTGTATAACTACGCACAGATGATATGCTTTGTTAATTACATAATCGGTGAAACGGTATGAGAAAAAAAAAAAAGCTAAAATTGTTTCAACATCAACCTTTGTTAGATCTTTTGCTGATTCAGAGGAAAGTTAAGTGTTAATAGATTAACCTTTGCTAACTGCAGTTTAACAGCTATATATTTATGATATCAATAGAATTGACATTTACAGCTTTTAAAATATAACAAAGGAATTCTTTTAGTATGAAAGATATTATATATATATATTTATCCCTAAATCCACATTGAGCAGAAGCACTCATCCAACCAGAGCCTATACAGCAGGGGTCCTCAACCTCAAACTCCAGCCCCCCAGATGTTGCTGAACTACAACTCCCATGATTCTCTGGCTATCTATGTAATTCAAAGAATCATGGGAGTTGTAGTTCAGCAACATCTAGGGGGCTGGAGTTTAAGGACCCCTGCTATACAGGTACCAAGTTATAGTTCAGGAGCACAGAGCACTGACACCATACACAAGCTGTAGGTATCTTAAGTGTGCTCAGAGGTAGTTTCAGGCAATTAAAAATGTGTATGCTCAGCTGTCAGCTAAGTAGTGCTTCCAACAACAGAGGGCTTAAAGATGGCTGCACAGAGGAAATGGAAGTAGCAAGACACACTAAAAAGTGGTATTTGCCACATGACCAAATTCATTATGTGTCCCATATATGAGGAGCTGTGGGGCCACAGCATTTAACGTATATTGCCTAAAGATTTAGATCATGGTCTAATCAACAACCAAATGGCTGCCTAGAAATAGGGAGTGATAGTTACTAAAATAGCTAAGGTAGTATAATTCATATATATTGAAAAAAAAAGTGCTTTTCTTTTCAATGTGTAAATCGTTTTAAATGTGCCCATCCCATTGGCATAACACTATTGAATTTCAATACAGAAGAGACAAATCTCATAAGATATTAATGTCCAGAATTCATCTCTGCTTTCATGATGCCTAATGCAGAGCCCACCCACATGAAGATTATTAACTAACAGAACGTGTGACAAATCGAAAATGGCTGCTTTCACTGATAAAGTGCTACAGAATCTGTTGGCGCTATATAAATGGCAATAATAATAATAATAATAATAATAAACAAAAAGTTTAAGTGGGATTTTAAAATGTAGCCATCGATCATAAAGATCTTGGAACACCATTAAATAATTTTAGCGAGTGTACAGTGTTGCAAATTACAGGTTGTAAAATTACAGACATTCCTGGAGACTATTCAATGATGTTCTATATTTTAAGGGGAAAGAAATTTTATAAAAATTGTTTTTCCATAATCCGCTGATGTATACATTTTGCATATTTAAGTTTTTCATAAATCTCTTCAAAAGAACTTTAAAAACTGCATTGGAGTTACAATCACAAAATATTCAAGAGATAAAATTGGGAATAGTTTGTGTGATTGAAATAAAGCTTTTTAGGCAAAATGTGTCAATACGCGAACATTCAAGCACCTTCTGCTCCCATATCTTAGAATTTCCCGTCAGCCATAGCAAGCAATGGTAGGAATATTCATTCATGCACAATATATACTCATAGCTTATCATTTAACATTCTTGGGATCAGCTGTAGATTGTCCATAGAAACCGGATAAGCACAATATTCTTATTCTTAGGATCACACTTCATATGTCACACTTTGTTTTAATCCTACTAACCAAACTACCCTACTGGAAAAGGAATGCAAATGGTTCTTGCAAATCTTAGGTCAAAATATCTGAATTTGGAATCCCCTGTTAATTTCTATAGAATTTTAATTATGGTGGATATCAGTGTATATTAATTATCAAGCAGAAAAATGCCCACTCCCCCTGACTTTAACCCAGGGCAGCAAGTGGCCCTCGATTCCCTACTAAAATTACTTTTCATTAATGGGACACTCCAGAACTACAAAGCACTTTAGCTGACTACCGTGCTTTATATGTCAAGTGTGTCCTGTTTTCATTTTACAAAAGTGAAGATTTCAACAAAAATTGCCCTGCAACAATTGCTCAATGAGCTGCATTGTGAAGTCTCTGCGCGGAAAAAAGGGGAGGACTTGACAAGTAATCTGCAGCATTTGCCGGCTGCTTTAAGATATACCCCTAATGAAAACCATGCATAAATGTATGATTGTTTTCATTTGGGGTTTATCTACTAAAAGGTGATTTGTTTCATTTGGGCAGCAGAGTGTCCCTTTTAATTAGTGTTCCTGAAGTCCTCTCCTACCTGCATACATTGGACATTGCATGGAATGTATTATAATTGTGCCAATTTCTTGTAATTCAGAAATGTCTACACTGGTTACATAATAGCCACGTAGAAATGTGAATTTACTTTATGTTTTAACCAGATACTTTGTGCTATTATGTGTAAGATTGCATGGGGGTATCTTACCAGATGAATGGAAAGTCCAAAATAAAGGTGCATTCACATGTCTGAAATTATTTCTTTTTCTCCTTTGTCATTTATAGACTGAGAAGGACCCTTGGAAGTGTACGAATATTTACTGATCTAGATATTGAACTGAGAATTTTTTTTAGCTACATATATCTTTCATTTGAGAAAAATAACTCAGTGGGCTAATGCATCCATCAGTAGAATCTGTTCAACCCTTGGGTCGCAGGTTCAAAACCCAGCAGCCCTTCATCCTTCCGAGTTTAAAAAAAAAAAAGGTACCATTAAATTGGGTAATGGCAATATCCCCAGGACGTACTTGAAAACCAGCGTAATCTGAATGAAACCTTTCCTGGTTAAATGCTTTGTTATTATTAGAGAGAAAAAATGGCCAATTTTTCCATAGTCAATTATTTTGGACTGAAATGTGCACATTTCTGGTCAGTTTCTTGAAAATCACCACTAGTGTGGAGTTTCTCTTTGAGAACAGAGTCAGACTCTGTTTTCACTCAAATGCTACTCATAGACCACTCATGCACACTAGCCTCCCAGTGATTCCCTATGGGGGAAATCATTGGATTAACTAAATTGATCAATCTTCAATCCCTCACAGGAAGGTGAAGACGACTCCTAAAAGGGAAACGGTTTAGCATTAGTGTAGTGTTCCTTTAAGCATATTACTTAATAATTTAGCAAAATCAATATCTCTCTTGATTATTTACCAGTGCATTTCCTAAATGTCAAATTTAGTCATCAGATATGCTATCGAGTAAATTAGGGGGACAGTGTCATAAAGAAGATAAATAATATTGAATTATTAGGAAAGGAAACAGTCTTTGTTATGCTTTGAGCCAACACCCTCAAGAGTATCCCTTTAAGCAGTCTTTGCTATACAGGAAAAAAAACAAAATACAAACTCATGTAACTAGTTATGGTGTACAGTTTTGTCTTCTACGAAACAGCGTGGCTTGATGTATGGTCTCTTGGTAAGGACCATCAGATTTTTGTAGTAAACACACCTTGCTGCCAAATTCCCACGAATTCAGGAATTAAGTTTCCAAACTTGAATAAATGTTTCCCAAACTGCACAGCAATCTAAAGCTGGGCTGCTCCAAGGAAAGATTCCTTTAAGTATAAGACGATTTTCATTCTAAATACTGGCAAAGCATAATAGGAATTGTAGTGCAAATAATCAAATTGTGGTGAGAGCACTCAATGCATGCAATATTCAATGTTTTACCAGACCTTTTTCAGATGAAAAATTCTAAAAAACATAAAACATAAAAACATAGAGTAATATTGTTTAAAATGTATGTCAATGTTTACATGTGACTGGTTAAACTCACATATTACTGAGTCACTTCAAAGCTGACTCAGACTTCAGACTTGTATGGAGATGAAATTTATTCAATTCTGGACGTCTTGTATCAATTTCAGCGAATCCGCATTGGAAGTACTCCTCTAGAATCACTCCAAAAGGCAAGATCCAATCCAAACTGATTTTATTGTTAAAAAATAACTTAATATAATGGATACAAGTAAAATGTCCTGTACAAATTACCACAACGCGTTTCGGCGATATCAGCCTTTCTCAAGTGGTCTAATTTCATCATCTCCATCTTCTTCCTTATATTCCAAATTTCGGCGCCTTTTTTTTCCCCTTTCCCGGGCGTTCACCTTTAACTTCCGCATTCGTCATCATTCTGCGTCTTCGGCCCGCTGTTTTCATTTGCGTCATCGACGTCGTGACGTTTTCCGGTTGCCGAAACCGGAAGTATTATCGGCGCCATTTTAAAAAGTCCTTTTCACTTATCTTGCCAGTCTCTTGCATATTCCTGTGTATGAACTTCTGGTTTTGGCTAGAAACTTCATATTTTCCAATTGCCGAAACCAGAAATGTTATTAATACCATTGTAAAGTCCTTTCTAAACATAACAATAGTCTCTTGTGTATCAATATATATATACCCTACATATCGATAAAACAAATAATAAAGCATAACAAAAAAACAGAAAATTGATTAAAAAATGACCTTATCATAGTAAATCTAGAAGGAGACATCCCCAACCTGCTAAAAAAGAGAGAGGGATAAATAAACTTAAAAATACTCTTAAAAAATTAATAAATTAATGACCCATATATATTAAAAAACTGTTTTTTTAAATTATTTTACAAGTCCAAATTCCTGAATAAAATTACATAAAAAGCTATATGCATGAATTTATCTCAAAATCAACATTCAAACCATTTGGGGATAATGATTCCATATTAAAAATCCATTTCATCTCACTTTTGCTAAGTAAATTCTCTATGTCACCCCCTCTCCAATGTGTCTTCACAGCCTCTATTCCTAAGAATTCAAATCCATTAATATCTCCTCCATGAGCTTCCAAAAAATGCTTGGAAACATTATGTAAAGTGAATTTCCTATTAATATTATAGATATGTTCCCTAATTCTTATCTTTAATAATCTGGACGTTTTTCCAATATATTGTAAACCGCAGGGACAAAATATCAGATAAATCACATTTTTAGAATTACATGTTATAAAGGATTTTATCTCATGTATTATCTTATTTTGAAAAGAAGTGAACTTCGTAACATTTTTATTCTTATTTTTCCTTAAAGTACAGCCTCTACATGTTCCACAATAGTAGAAGCCTTTTTCTTTCTTAAACATAGATGAGATTTGTGGATTTCTTTCTTTATCTATAAAACTTGAGGTTAAAACTTGTTTAATGTTTTTCGCACCCCTGAAAATCATTTTTGGTTGAGTTCCCAAATACGGATGAATATCTTGGTCCTGCTCTAAAATATGCCAATTTCTCTTTATAATTTTTTGCAATTGATTGCTATGAGAGCTATAATTAAAAATAATCGGTACAATCTTATTTTCTTCTTTATGTTCTTTCGTTTTATATTTTAAAAGGTTTTCTCTTAATTCCTGTCCTACCTCATTTTTTATGTTAGTCAAGGAATTTTGATTGTACCCTTTTTCAACTAATTGCTTAATTAAAACTTTTGTTTGTTCCTCATACTGTATCGATTCCGTACAATTGCGTTTTATTCTTAAAAACTGACCTTTGGGTATATTAGTTAACCAAGGTTTAAAATGGCAACTCTTTAAATTAATAAAACTATTAACATCTACAGTTTTAAAAAAGGTTTTACTTTTAATCTTATTTTCTTCTATATAAATACTTAGATCTAAAAAATTAACAATTTTAGTACTGATTTCCCAGGTTAGATTGATATTCCAAATCATTTAAAAAGCTTTTTAAAGTTTCTTGTGTCCCTTTCCATATTAAAAAGATATCATCTATGTACCTTTTATAGAGGACCAGACTTGTCCCGAGCTCTGGCTTGGAGAAAATCTCAGATTCCTCCCAATACGCCATAAACAGATTAGCATAGCTCGGGGCAAATCTGGTCCCCATAGCTGTTCCCTTGGTTTGTAAATAAAAATTCTTCTCAAACCAAAAGAAATTATTAAAAAGAATCAATTGGATACCATCTATAATAAAATCAATCTGCTCCGGGTTCAAATCTGTATCCTTTTTTAAAAAATGTCTAGCAGCCTCACATCCCTTCTCATGTTCAATAATGGTGTAGAGGCTGCTGACATCACAGGTCACCATAATCAAACCCTCTTCCCAATTAAAACCATTTTTGATTATGGTGACCTGTGATGTCAGC